AATAATCAATAATCCTGGAGTTCCCAATTCCTTCTGCCGTTAATTTGGTGGAAAATCTTTGAAATTTGGGATTTTGGATTTGGCTCCAGCCAAACTTCCCTGGAAAAGTCTTTGCCCAAAATCCTGGGGATGCCGGGCCCTGATCTGGGGGGAATTTCCTGGGATTTGGGGAGATCTGCTGGGATCTGGGAGGAGTTTCCTGGGATTTGGGGGGATCTGTGGGCTCTGGGGAGCCGGGAGCTGTTCAGGGAGTTTCCTGGGATTTGGGGAATTCTCCGGGCGGGTTTTGGGCCGGGGCTCTCCTCGGGCTGTCCCGGGGCTGCAGAGCTTTTGTGGGATCGGAGCCGAGCCCTGCCCCCGCCCCGTGCCTCCCGGAGCCACTGAGCTTCCGCCACCGCCGCTGTCCCCGCTGTCCCCGCGCTGTCCTTTCTCTGTCCCCCCTCTCTGTCCCCCCTTTCTCTCTCCTCTCTGTCCCCTCTCTCTGTCCCCTCTCTGTCCCCTCGCTGTCCCCTCTCTCTCTCCCCTCTCTGTCCCCTCTGTCCCCTCTCTTTCTGTCCTCTCTCTCTGTCCCCTCGCTCTGTCCCCTCTCTGTCCCCTCGCTGTCCCCTCTCTCTCTCCCCTCTCTGTCCCCTCTGTCCCCTCTCTTTCTGTCCTCTCTCTCTGTCCCCTCGCTCTGTCCCCTCTCTGTCCCCTCGCTGTCCCCTCTCTCTCTCCCCTCTCTCTCTCCTCTCTGTCCCTTCTGTCCCCTCGCTCTGTCCCCTCTCTCTGTCCCCTCGCTGTCCCCTCTGTCCCCTCTCTCTCTCTCCACGTGGCCTCTCCCAGCGCGGCGCTGCCCGCGCGCCCCCCGCCCGCCGCTCCAGCCAATCAGGGCTCTCCTCTCATCATCCGCGCGACCCCCGCGGCCAATGGGGGCCCGCGACACAAGCGCGGCTCCCCCCGCGCCGCGCCCGGAAGCGGCGGCGGCCGCAGCGCCGCGAGGGGCCCGGCCCGGAGCGACCCGGAGCGCTCCCGGTGCTGTCCCCCCGCTGTCCCCCCGCTGTCCCCTCGCTGTCCTCACGCTATCCCCCGCTGTCCCCACGCTGTCTCACCGCTGTCCCCACGCTGTCCCCTCCGCCGGCCCCGCCGCTCGGCCGCCCCGCCCCGCGCATGCTCTGCCGGTGCCGCCGCGACTCCATGTGTGAGGAGCGCATTATCGGCACCGGGAGCCGCGGCGGCCACGGGAGCCACCGGGAAAGCCCCGCAACAAGCGGGAGAGCGGCGGGGCCAGCGCGGGGAGAGCGGAGCGGAGCCGGGAGCGCGGGGCGGGCTCGCTGCGGATGCGGCGCGGAGCTACCGGAGCAGCGCCCTGCGAGTTCTCCCGGTAAAAGTTCTCCCGGCGTTTATTGGCTCCGGTACCGGAGCGACGGCACCGCCGGGATTTTGGGAGAACGGAGGCCGGGATGCGGGAGAGCTGCCGGGGAAGTTCCGGCATTTCCTGGCCGTGCGGGCAGCCCGGAAAGTGCAAAGTCCCGCTGGCCGCGGCTCCGGCCCCGGCCGCCCCTGAGCCCCGAGCCCGCGGCACCGGGGCCGCTCCGGGATCCCGGGGCTCGTCCCCCCGGGAGCCCCAACTCCGCCGCCCGCCCAGCGCCCCGGGGCGCCGCCGGCTTTTGTTTGGGAAAGTTGCTGCGGGCTTTCCGCCGGGCTGCTTCCTCTTCCTCCTCTTCCTCCTCCTTCTCCTCCTCCTCCTTCTCTTCCTCCTCCGCCGCCGCCCCGAGCGCTCCGTGCCCGCTCCCCCCCGCGCTCCGCACCGGGGACACGGGGGGACACGGGGGGACACGGGGACCCCCCGAAACCCCCCCGGTCACTCCGTGCTCACCCCCCGCTCACCCCCCGGTCACCGCGACCCTCCCCGGTGTCCCCGGGGGTCAATCCCCGCTGTGCAAAGCCGCGATCCCCCCCGCTGTCGCCGTGGCCGGTGCCCCCCGGTGCCCCCGGTGCCGGAGCCCGCGGTGGCCGCGGCCGGGCCGTGCGGCCGGGCCGGGCCGTGTCACAATAAGAGTCCCCGGCCGCCCTTCCTGCGCCCGGGGCACCGGCAATGGCACCGGCACCGGCACGGGCACCGGCACCGGGATGCGCTGCCCGGGATCGGGATCGGCGCTGGCATCCGCACCGGGATGGGGATCAGCACCGGCACCGGGATGGGCACCGGGATGGCGTTTGGAACCGGGACCGGGATGGGCACCGGGATTGGCACCGGGTTGGGGATTGGCACCGGGATCCGCGCCGGGATCGGGATCAGCACCGGCACCGGGATGGGCACCGGGATGGGGATGGGCACCGGGACCGGGATGGGCACCGGGATTGGGACTGGCACCGGGATCCGCACCGGGATCGGGATCAGCACCGGGACCGGGATTGGCAGAGGGATGGGGATTGGCACCGGGATCAGAACCGAGATTGGCACCGGGATGCCCTGCCCCGGGGGGATCCCGGGGGTCCGGGGGGATGCGGGATAATCCCGGCCCCACACAGCACACGGTGGGCACAGGGAAAGCGGGAATTGCGGAATTCCAGCCGGGAATTGCAGCCGGGAACGGCTCCCGGGATGGGATGGGATGGGATGGGATGGGGTGGGATGGGATGGGATCCTGCCAGGATGGGATCGTTCCCGATGGGATCCTTCCTGATGAATCCTTCCCGCTGGGATCGTTCCCGATGGGATCCTGCGGGATGCGGGGTCGGGATTCACATCCCGGCTTTTCCCCAGCATCTCCTCACTCTTTTCCTGGGGACACCCGGGAATCGAGACACCTGGGATCGTGGCCCCACACGGGGAAGTGGGCAGAGAATTCCAGCCGGGAATGCCTCACTCGGGATCGGAGCTGGGTTCACATCCCGAGTGGTTCCCGGCTGCTTTTCCAGGATTTTCCCAGCCCGCCGCTCGGTTTTCCTTGGGCTTGTCTGGGATTTTGCTGCCTTGCTCGGGCTGGAATTCAGAGCTATCCCAAATCCCGGGAATGCTCCAATCCCAGCTGGAATTCAGAGCTGTCCCAAATCCTGGGAATGCTCCAATCCCAGCTCTGGGCTCCGGGGCTGCTCCGTCCTGTCCTGTCCTGCCGGGAACCGGAGCTGGGAGAGGCACAGGAAGTGACAGCGAGAGGCCTTTGGGAATCCGGGATGGCAGCGCTTGGAGCCGGCCTGGGATCAGCGGGACAGGGCTGGGATCAGCCTGGGAGCAGCAGGAGAGGGCTGGGATCGGCCTGGGATCAGCAGGAAGGGGCTGGGATTGGCCTGGGATTGGTCTGGGATCAGTGGGAAAGGGCTGGGATCGGCCTGGGATCAGCAGGAATGCTGGGGATTTAGGGAAAGGGGCTGGAATCTGACAGGGATTTTGTGAAAAGGGCTGGGATCGGCCTGGGATCAGCGGGAAAGGGCTGGGATCAGTGGGAAAAGGACTAGGATCTGCTGTGGATTTTGGGAAAAGGGCTGGGATCATGCTGGGATCAGCAGGAAAGGGGCTGGAATCTGCCGGGGGTTTTGGGAAAAGAGAGGGAAGTGGCAAAATCCCTTGGATTTTGGGCAAGGGGCTGAAAGCTGCTAAGGATCAGCAGGAAAGGGGCTGGAATGTGCCTGGGAATTTGGGAAAGGGGCTGGGATCGGTGGGAAAGCCATGGATTTTGGGAGAGGAGCTGGGATCTGCCTGGGATTTTGGGAGAGGGGTTGGAAGCAGCCTTGGATCAGCAGGAAAGGGGCTGGAAGTTGGGAATACTGGAAAGTTGAGAGTGCTGGGAAGTTGGGAATGCTGGAAGTTGGGGCGTTCTGGGAATGTTTCAAATCCCAAAATTCCAGATCCAAACCAGGGATGTTGCTGATGGAATTCCAAAGCCAGAGGTGAACCGTGAAAGGGAATAAATCCCTCTTTTCCCATGGATTCATGGAATTCTGGGATGCTTTGGGGTGGGAAGCAGCTCAGGGATCAGGCAGGAACATTCCCAGGTTTTTCCAGGCTGCCCTGGGAATTCCCTGCTGCTCCCTCTCCAGTTTTTCCCACAGATCCCAAACTTTTCCAGGATTTTCCCCTCCTGATCCATCCGGGGGCTTCTTCCCGAGAATCCCGAGCCCTAACACAGCTGGAATTCCAGAATTCCAGGAATTCCAAGTGAAATCTGAGGAATTCCAGCTCTCCTGGATCCTCGGAAAGCAGCCGGGGCAGCTCCGAATTCCAAAGGATTTTCTGGGATTTTCCCAGATCCTCTTAACCACGAACAGCTCCGGGTGAGCTCCGCTAATTCCCCCTGGAATTCCCAGGATCATGGGGCCGGAGCAGCCGGGAAAACCTGGGAATGGCTGAAGAATCCAGGCCCAGGAAAACCGGGAATGGAGGGAAATCTGGGAATTCCGTGGATGGAAACTGGGAATGACAGGAAATCTGGGAATTCCGTGGATGGAAACTGGGAATGGAGGGAAATCTGGGCATTCCATGGATTTCAGTGCCTGGAAAATTCGTGGGATGAATCAGAATTCCCAAATCCCAACTCCCAGCATTGTGTTGTACTTTGGGATTCCCAATTCCCGGGGCTGTGCCGTACTGATATTCCCGATTTTCATGGTGGAGCTGTTGCTCCCGGGATGGCAGCGCTTGGAGCCGGCCTGGGATCAGCGGGACAGGGCTGGGATCAGCCTGGGAGCAGCAGGAAAGGGCTGGGATCGGCCTGGGATCAGCAGGAATGCTGGGGATTTAGGGAAAGGGGCTGGAATCTGACAGGGATTTTGTGAAAAGGGCTGGGATCGGCCTGGGATCAGCGGGAAAGGGCTGGGATCAGTGGGAAAAGGACTAGGATCTGCTGTGGATTTTGGGAAAAGGGCTGGGATCATGCTGGGATCAGCAGGAAAGGGGCTGGAATCTGCCGGGGGTTTTGGGAAAAGAGAGGGAAGTGGCAAAATCCCTTGGATTTTGGGCAAGGGGCTGAAAGCTGCTAGGGATCAGCAGGAAAGGGGCTGGAATGTGCCTGGGAATTTGGGAAAGGGGCTGGGATCGGTGGGAAAGCCATGGATTTTGGGAGAGGAGCTGGGATCTGCCTGGGATTTTGGGAGAGGGGTTGGAAGCAGCCTTGGATCAGCAGGAAAGGGGCTGGAAGTTGGGAATACTGGAAAGTTGAGAGTGCTGGGAAGTTGGGAATGCTGGAAGTTGGGGCGTTCTGGGAATGTTTCAAATCCCAAAATTCCAGATCCAAACCAGGGATGTTGCTGATGGAATTCCAAAGCCAGAGGTGAACCGTGAAAGGGAATAAATCCCTCTTTTCCCATGGATTCATGGAATTCTGGGATGCTTTGGGGTGGGAAGCAGCTCAGGGATCAGGCAGGAACATTCCCAGGTTTTTCCAGGCTGCCCTGGGAATTCCCTGCTGCTCCCTCTCCAGTTTTTCCCACAGATCCCAAACTTTTCCAGGATTTTCCCCTCCTGATCCATCCGGGGGCTTCTTCCCGAGAATCCCGAGCCCTAACACAGCTGGAATTCCAGAATTCCAGGAATTCCAAGTGAAATCTGAGGAATTCCAGCTCTCCTGGATCCTCGGAAAGCAGCCGGGGCAGCTCCGAATTCCAAAGGATTTTCTGGGATTTTCCCAGATCCTCTTAACCACGAACAGCTCCGGGTGAGCTCCGCTAATTCCCCCTGGAATTCCCAGGATCATGGGGCCGGAGCAGCCGGGAAAACCTGGGAATGGCTGAAGAATCCAGGCCCAGGAAAACCGGGAATGGAGGGAAATCTGGGAATTCCGTGGATGGAAACTGGGAATGACAGGAAATCTGGGAATTCCGTGGATGGAAACTGGGAATGGAGGGAAATCTGGGCATTCCATGGATTTCAGTGCCTGGAAAATTCGTGGGATGAATCAGAATTCCCAAATCCCAACTCCCAGCATTGTGTTGTACTTTGGGATTCCCAATTCCCGGGGCTGTGCCGTACTGATATTCCCGATTTTCATGGTGGAGCTGTTGCTCTGGGATTCCCAAATCCCAGCTCTGTGCCAGCATTCCCAAACCCCAGCATTCCCAAATCCCAGCATTCCCAAACCCCAGCTCTGTTCCAGCATTCCCCATCCTGGCTGTTTCCCTCAGGAACGTGGGAATTCCCGGAATTCCTGGAATTCTCACCCCTCTCTCTCTGTTCCCGCAGGATCCTCAGCTCTGGCTCATCCCCACAGGACCCCATGAACTTCCCTGACAGGTAGGAGCCTGCAATTCCTGGGAATTTGATGGGAATTTGATTGGAATTTGATGGGATGGGGAATCTCTGCCTGGAATCTTCTCCTGGAACAGCTGGAGAGGAGCTCCAAGAGGAGCTTTCCCAAAAATCTCTGTGAATTCCCAAATTCCCGAGGGATTTGAGCCAATTCCTGAGGAAATATCCTGGATTTTCCAAGGGATTTAGGAATTCCAGAGGATCCAGAGCTCCTGGAATTCCTGCTGGGGTTGTCCTGCGGGACTGGAGCAGGGATGGGATTTTTGGGGATTTGGGGGGTGGGGATTGGGGGGTTTTTGGGGTTTTTTGGGGGGTTGGGGGATTTGGGGATTTTTGGGATTTTGGGGGTTTGGGATTTGGGGGATTTTGGGGATTTGGGAATTGGGAATTTAGGAAGGATTTGGAGCCAGGAGTGCTCAGGGAGGAGGCATGGCTGGGCTCACCTGGGCTGAGCTCACCTGGGCTGGGCTCACCTGGGCAGGTGTTCTCCGTTGTAGGTGCTCACCTGTGTCAGTGCTCCCCTGTCCCGTGCAGCTCTCACCTGTCCCGGTCTGGTCTCACCTCTCCTGGTCCCACCTGTCCCGGTCCCACCTGTCCCGGTCTGGTCTCAACTGTCCCAGTCTGGTCTCACCTGTCCCGGTCTCACCTGTCCCAGTCTGGTCTCACCTCTCCTGGTCCCACCTGTCCTGGTCTCACCTGTCCCGGTCTGGTCTCGCCTCTCCTGGTCTCACCTGTCCCAGTCTCACCTCTCCCGGTCTCACCTGTCCTGGTTCTCCCCCCTCACCCCCACAGTTTTTACCTGGGGAGGTTCTCACCTGCTCAGCTCTCACCTGTTGGGTTCTCACCTGCCCGCTGGAGATGTCACCTGTGTGTCCCGCCTGTCCCACCTGTGTGTCCCACCTGTCCCAGTCCCACCTCTCCCTGTCCCACCTGTCCCTGTCCCACCTGTGTGTCCCACCTGTGTGTCCCACCTGTCCCACCTGTGTGTCCCACCTGTCCCTGTCCCACTGGTGCAGGTCTCACCTGTCCCTGTCCCACCTGTGCAGGTCTCACCTGTCCCTGTCCCAGTCCCACCTGTCCTGTCCCTGTCTCACCTGTGGGGCTCCCGTGTGTGGGTGCTCACCTGGGCAGGGCCTCCCCTGTCCCCTGGGATTGTCCCAGGATCCTCTGGCTCTGGAATTCCCGGGATAGGGAACGGATTGTCCTGGGAAAAGCTCGGAATTGTCCTGGGATCCTTTGGCTCCGGAATTCCTGGGAAAATAGAAAGGATTGTCCTGGGAAAAGGCCGGGATTGTCCCAGGATAGGAATGGGATTGTCCTGGGATCCTCTGGCTCTGGAATTCCTGGGAAAGGGAAAGGGCCGGGATAGGAATGGGATTGTCCCAGATCCTTTGGCTCTGGAATTCCCAGGAAAAGGGAAAGGATTGTCCTGGGAGAAGGCCGGGATTGTCCCAGGACAGGAACGGGATTGTCCTGGGATAAGAGTGGGATTGTCCCGGGATCCTCTGGCTCTGGAATTCCCAGGACAAGGAAAGGGCCGGGATTGTCCCGGGATCCTCTGGCTCCAGCATTCCTGGGAAATTCTTTTTTGAACAATTCAGGAATTTGGGTGGATGAATAAGAAAATTCCTTGGGAATTCCGATGTTCCTGCTGCTTTTCCCGCTTTTCTCCTGGGTGGTCCTGCTGGGGACGGAATTCCCAGCTGGAATCTCTGGAATCCCAATTCCAAGGAATTCCCAGCCTGGAATTTCCCCATTCCCAGCTGGAAAATGGGAATATTTAAGGATGGAAATTCCCTCCTTAATGAGGAATTAATTGGGAAAGATCCGATTGCATTTCCTCATTAATATTTAAATATATTCAGGAATATTTAAATTAACTCATGAATATGTGAATAATCATATGAATATTTAAATTAACCAGGGAATGTTTCCAGTTCTTCCCAACAAATAAATCTTGGAATTTTTCCCCTTAAAGGAGAAATTTGGAATGGAAAATCAACAATGGCGAAAGAATTAATTAATGATTAATTAATGATTAATTAATAACGGGAGGATTCGCTTGGAAAATCCCAGGAAAAGTTGGGAATTCTGTTCCTGGATTTCCTCTGTGCATTCCCAAAAAAATCCCAGCCCAGAAATCTCAGTCTTTGTATCCTGAATATTCCAGCTGGGAACAATTTGGGAATTATTCCCGTGGGAAAAGTGGAATTTTTCAGGAATTTTCCTGGCTTTGATTCTGGGAATTCTCAGTCCTAGATAATCTGGGAATGACCCGGGGTGGGAAAATTGGGATAAATCCTGGTGGGAATCCCGGGAATTTCAGGGAATTCCCATCCTGGGAATGACTCCCGGGAAGTTTGGGAAAATTGAGATAAATCCTGCTGGGAATCTCAGGCATTTCAGGGAATTCCCAGCTCGGGAATGATTCCCAGGAAATTTGGGAAAAGCAGGATAAATTTGCTGGGAATCCTGGGAATCAAAGTTTGGGAAAGTCAGGAGAAATCCTGCTGGGAATCCCAGGATTTTCAGGGAATTCCCAGCCTGGCAATGACTGCTGGGAAGTTTGGGAAAATCGGGATAAGTTGTGGTGGGAATCCCGGGAATCAAAGGGGGATCCCAGGGCAGGGAATCCCGGGAATTTCAGGGAATTCCCAGCTCAGGAATAACTCCCGGGAAATTCAGGAATCCCGGGAATTTAAGGGAATTCCCAGCCCGGGAATGACTCCCGGGAAATTCGGGAATGCCGGGATAAATCCGGGCGGGGGCGGGGGCGGGGAGGTCCCGCGGGGAGCGGAGCCAGCCGGGATTCCCGGCGGGAATTCCCGATCCCCAACCGGCATTCCAAGGGTTAAGCGCTGCCATTTTGTTCCCGGAGATTTCTCGGGAATGGCGCGGATAAATTTGCTGGGAATCCTGGGAATCAAAGTTTGGGAAAGTCAGGAGAAATCCTGCTGGGAATCCCAGGATTTTCAGGGAATTCCCAGCCTGGCAATGACTGCTGGGAAGTTTGGGAAAATCGGGATAAGTTGTGGTGGGAATCCCGGGAATCAAAGGGGGATCCCAGGGCAGGGAATCCCGGGAATTTCAGGGAATTCCCAGCTCAGGAATAACTCCCGGGAAATTCAGGAATCCCGGGAATTTAAGGGAATTCCCAGCCTGGAAATGACTCCCAGGAAATTTGGGAAAACCGGGATAAATCCTGCTGGGAATCCCGGGAATCAAAGTTTGGGAAAGGCAGGATAAATCCTACTGGGAATCCCAGGAATTTCATGGAATTCCCAGCCCGGGAATGACTCCCAGGAAATTTGGGGAAATCGGGATAAATCCTGCTGGGAATCCCAGGAGTTTCAGGGAATTCCCAGTCTGGAAATGACTCCCAGGAAATTTGGGGAAATCGGGATAAATCCCAGTGGGAATCCCGGGAATTTCATGGAATTCCCAGCCCGGGAATGACTCCCGGGAAATTTGGGAAAACCGGGATAAATCCCGGTGGGAATCCCGGGAATCAAAGGGGGATCCCAGGGCAGGGAATCCCGGGAATTTCAGGGAATTCCCAGCCCGGGAATGACTCCCGGGAAATTCGGGAATGCCGGGATAAATCCGGGCGGGGGCGGGGGCGGGGAGGTCCCGCGGGGAGCGGAGCCAGCCGGGATTCCCGGCGGGAATTCCCGATCCCCAACCGGCATTCCAAGGGTTAAGCGCTGCCATTTTGTTCCCGGAGATTTCTCGGGAATGGCGCGGAAATGGCAGCGCTTAACCCTTGGAATGCCGGCTCGGGAATTCCAGCGGGAGCCGGGGATTCCCCTCCCCCCTCTCTTTTCCCGGGAATTCCCAATCCCAAAATCCCGGGAAAAGCGGGAGCGGGGCTTTTCCACCTGTTGGGATCCCGAATTTTTTGAGGTGGAAAATTTGGGATTGGAGCTGAATTCCCAAAGGAAAGTTTGGGAATTTCCACATCCAAGGATTGGAGTCGTTCAGCCCGGAATTCCCATGGATTTTTCTGGGAAATCTCAGAAAAAATATTCCCAGAAAAAGGAATTTCCCAGGAATTTTGGGATGGGGTATCCAGGAATTCTTCCTGGGAATCCTCAGGAGCAGCAAATGCATGGAAAAACATTTGGAAATGTTGGAATCCCACTTTTCCATCTCTGGGAATTTTCTCTTCCTGAAATTTTGGTTGTTGGAATTTTTGGCTCCCAAAATTCCTGGAACTGGGCGGGAAAAACTCAGGGAAGAATTCCAGGATGTGGGAAAAGATGGAATTTTTCAGCCCAAGTTTCTCCTTTTCCTTTGGAATTTTATTGGAATTTTCATCAGGATTTTTTTATTTGGGAATTTCCCTCCAAACCCAACCCCATTCCCATTCCTGGAAAATCCTTCAAATCCTCTTTTTTCCAGAGCTTTTCCTGGGATTTTGGAGGAATTTTTTCCCTTCTTTTCTCCCTTTTCCTGCCCTGGGCACTGGGATGGGCTGGAATTCTCCTGGGAGAGGAAAAACTCCGGGAATTCCCTTTCCCAGGGATTTTCCCTCCCTTTTCCAGGGATTTTCCAGCCCCTTTCCCAAACCTTTTCCATCTTTTTTTCAGCCCCTTTTCCAGGGTTTTTCCCCCTCCCTTTTCCCTCCCTTTTCCAAGGTTTTTCCAGGGTTTTTCCAGCCCCTTTTCCAGGGTTTTTTCCCCTCCCTTTTCCAAGGTTTTTCCAAGGTTTTTCCAGCCCCTTTTCCAGGGTTTTTCCAACCCATTTTCCAGGTTTTTTTCCCCTCCCTTTTCCAAGGTTTTTCCAAGGTTTTTCCCTCCCTTTTCCAGGGATTTTCCAGCCCCTTTCCCAAACCTTTTCCATCTTTTTTTCAGCCCCTTTTCCAGGGTTTTTTCCCCTCCCTTTTCCAAGGTTTTTCCCTCCCTTTTCCAGGATTTTTTCCCTCCCTTTTCCAAGGTTTTTCCAAGGTTTTTCCAGCCCCTTTTCCAGGGTTTTTCCCCCTCCCTTTTCCCTCCCTTTTCCAAGGTTTTTCCAGGGTTTTTCCAGCCCCTTTTCCAGGGTTTTTTTCCCTCCCTTTTCCAGGGATTTTCCCTCCCTTTCCCAGCCCTTCCTGAGTCGCTCTTCCCAGACTTTTTCCTCCTTGGAAATGCAGGAATTCCATCCCCAAATCCCGGGATTTTTAACCCCTTGGTGTCTCCCTTTTCCCGGGATTTTCCAGCCCCTTTCCCAGGATTTTTCCCTTCCTGTTCTCTCCCCATTCCCGGGATCTTTTCCCGGGAATTTTTACTTTTCCCGGGATTTTTTTCCCCCCCTTTTCCCGGGATTTCCCCCACTCCTTTCCCAGGATTTTTTAACCCTTTGATGTCTCCCTTTCCCAGGATATTTCCCCCCCTTTCTCCATGATTTTTCCTGCCATTCCCAATGTTTTTAACCCTTTCCCAGGATTTTTTCCCGGGATATTCCCCCCCCCCCCACCACCGTTCCCGGTTTATTTTCCCCCATGACTTTTTCCTCCATTCCCGCTATTTTTAACCCTTTCTTGGGATTTTCCCCCCCGGTGTTTTTAACCCTTTCCCGGCCGTTCCCAGTGTTTTTAACCCTTTCCCGGTGTTTTTTTCCCCTGCTGTTCCCACTGTTTTAAACCCTTTCCCGAGGTATTTCCCCCGTGGTGTTTTTAACCCTTCGCCGGGACATTTTCCCGCTGTTTTTAACCCTTTCCCAGGATATTTTACCCCCCACCATTCCCGGTGTTTTTAACCCTTTCCCAGGATATTTTCCCCATGATTTTTCCCTTCCATTCCTGGTGTTTTTAACCCTTTCCCAGGATATTTTACCCCCCACCATTCCCGCTGTTTTTAACCCTTTCCCAGGATATTTTACCCCCCACCATTCCCGCTGTTTTTAACCCTTTCCCAGGATATTTTCCCGGGATATTCCCCCCCCCCCCACCACCGTTCCCGGTTTATTTTCCCCCATGACTTTTTCCTCCATTCCCGCTATTTTTAACCCTTTCTTGGGATTTTCCCCCCCGGTGTTTTTAACCCTTTCCCGGCCGTTCCCAGTGTTTTTAACCCTTTCCCGGTGTTTTTTTCCCCTGCTGTTCCCACTGTTTTTAACCCTTTCCCGAGGTATTTCCCCCGTGGTGTTTTTAACCCTTTGCCGGGACATTTTTTCCCGGGATTTTCCAGCCCCTTTCCCAGGATTTTTCCCTTCCTGTTCTCTCCCCATTCCCGGGATCTTTTCCCGGGAATTTTTACTTTTCCCGGGATTTTTTTCCCCCCCTTTTCCCGGGATTTCCCCCACTCCTTTCCCAGGATTTTTTAACCCTTTGATGTCTCCCTTTCCCAGGATATTTCCCCCCCTTTCTCCATGATTTTTCCTGCCATTCCCAATGTTTTTAACCCTTTCCCAGGATATTTTCCCCATGATTTTTCCCCTCCATTCCCGGTCTTTTTAACCCTTTCCCAGGATATTTCCCCCTCTCCATTCCTGGTGTTTTTTACCCTTCCCCAGTTCTGTTTTCCAGCTGTTTTTAACCCTTTCCCGGGATATTTTCCCCGCGATTTTTCCCTCCAATCCCGCTGTTTTTAACCCTTTCCCAGGGTGTTTTCCCCCCCGCCATTCGCTGTTTTTAACCCTTTCCCAGGGTGTTTTTCCCCCTCCATTCCCGCTGTTTTTAACCCTTTCCCGGTCCATTTCCCCGCTGTTTTTAACCCTTTCGTGGCCTCCCGCAGCCCCTCACCATGAGTGAGGACTCATGCCGCACCCGCAGCCAGAAGCGCGCCCTGGAGCGGGACTCGGAGCCCGACAGTAAAAAACTCAGGATGGACAAAGGAATTCTGGGATCCGAGCTCAGCTCCGAGGGGGACATGAAGATCAAAGCGGATCCCGGAGCCGGGAAAATGCCGGGAATGCTGAAAAGTGGGGAAGTCAAAGCCACCATCAAAGTGGAGCTGCCGGCAGCAGGGGACGAGCCCGTGGACATGAGCACATCCAAAGGGTGAGGATTCCTTGGAATTCCGGGAATTCTTGGCCTTGGCGAAGGGTTTGGATCCCTTCTCATCCCGGTTTTTATTGGGACGAGGCTCGGGGTGGAGTTGGAGTTGAGTTTTTTGGTGCCGCATTCCCGGTTTTTCCTTTGGGATGGTGGAAAAGTTGGGTAGAGAATCCCGGGAATGCTGTGGAAGCTCATCCCATTCCAGGGGCAGTTCTGATCCAAACCCCATCCCAGCCCCATTTCCTTGGAGCTGCCAATGGAATCCCTGGAATTACAGCAGGAAAAGGAGTTTGGGAGTTGGGAAGTTCTCATTCCCAAGCCAGTCAATCCCAGTTTTCCAGCTCCAGGGAAAATTTGGGAGTTCTCCACCTGTGCCACTTCCAGAGGGAAATGCCTGGATTTGGGGATTCCCTGGATTTGGGGTTTCCTTGGATTTGGGGATTCCCTGGATTTGGGGTTTCTCTGGATTGGATTTGGGTTTCCCTGGATTTGGGGATTCCCAGGCTCGCTGTGCCCTCTAGAGGGCATTCCCAACCCTTTGGAATTTTCCCATTCCTGAAATTCCCACCCTGGGCCCTTTTCCCAGTCGTGGAATTCCCTGGGGGGCTGGAAAAGCCTTGGAAAACAAACTGGAAAAGGGTCTGGAAAAAGGCTGGAAAGGGACTGGGAAAGGGCTGGAAAAGTGGATGGAAAAAGGGCAGGAAAAGGGTTGGGAAAACTGTTGGAAAGGCTGCTCCTGGAGTGACCATTTCCCAGGATTTGCTCCCCATTTTCCCAGGATTTGCTCCCCATTATTCCAGTTTCCTCCCCGTGCCCTGACCCCGTTTCCCGGGATTTTCTCCCCGTTTTCCCGGGTTACCTCCCCTTGCCCTGACCCCATTTTCCCAGGATTTTCTCCCCATTTTCCCAGGATTTTCTTCCTGTTTTCCTGGGATTTTCTCCCTGTTTTCCCAGGATTTGCTCCCCGTTATTCCGGTTTCCTCCCCCTGCCCTGACCCCGTTTCCTGGGATTTTCTCCCCATTTTCCCAGGTTTCCTTCCCCTGCCCTGACCCCGTTTTCCCGGGATTTTCTCCCTGTTCTCCCGGCTTTTCTCCCCGTTTTCCCGTGTTTCCTCGCCGTGCCCTGCCCCATTCCCGGCCTTGTCCCGTCCGTTCCCCAGGGAGTGCCGGCGGGAGCGGCGCGTTCCCTCCCCGGACGTGATCGTGCTGTCGGACAACGAGCCCTCGAGCCCCCGCGTCAACGGGCTGGGGCTGGCCCGGCTCGCCCTGCCCGAGCCCGGCGCCGAGGGGCTGCTGGTGAGTCCTGCTGGGATGGACTGGGATAAACTGGGATTGGGTCAGGGTTAACTGGGATTGGGTCAGGGTTAACTGGGATGGACTGGGATTGGATCAGGGTTAACTGGGATTGAGTCAGGATGGACTGGGACTGGTCAGGGTTAGCTGGGATTGAGTCAGGATGAACCAGGATAGGGTCAGGGTTAACTGGGATGGACTGGGATTGGGTCAGGGTTAACTGGGATTGGGTTGGAATAACCTGGGATTTTCCTGGGATTTTCTTGGGTTTTTTCTGGGATTTACCTGGGATTTTCCTGGGCTTTTCCTGGGGTTTCCCCTGGGATTTTCCTGGGCTTTTCCTGGAGTTTCCCTGGGATTTTCCCGGGCTTTTCCTGGGCTTTCCCTGGGCTTTCCCTGGGATCTCCTGGGGTTTCCCTGGGCTTTCCCTGGGGTTTCCCTGGGATCTCCCGGCACTTCCTGGCGTTGCAGCGGAGCCCGGAGCAGCGGGAGCGCCTGATCAAGCAGCTGCAGGAGGAGCTGAGGCTGGAGGAGGCCAAGCTGGTGCTGCTCAAGAAGCTCCGGCAGAGCCAGAGCCAGAAGGAGACGCCGGCGCCCAAGGTAGGAAAATCCCCATTTGCCAGGAATTCCCAGCCCTTTGCCAGGGAAAACCCCACAATTTTCCAGGAATTCCCAGCCCTTTTCTGGGGAAAATCCTGATTTTACAGGAATTCCCAGCCCTTTTTCCAGGGAAAATCCTGATTTTCCAGGAATTCCCAAGGATTTTTCTGCCATTTCCCAACATTTTTCCCACCAATTCCCAAGGCTTATCCTGTGAATTCCCAAGGAATTTCCCTGCCAGTTCTCAAGGATTTTCCCACCAATTCCCAAGGATTTTCCTGGGAATTCCCAGAGATTTTGCAGGAATTCACAAGGATTTTCCTGCTAATTCCCACTGATTATGCCACTAATTCCCAAGGATTTTCCCGCCAATCCCAAAGATTTCTCTGCAAATTCCCACTGATTTTCTCACCAATTCCTGAGGATTTTTCCCTCCAATTTCCAAGGATTTTTCCCTCCAATTCCCAAGGATTTTCCCCTAAATCCTTGAGGATTTTCCTGCCAATCCCAAGGATCCTCCTGTGAATTCCCAAGGATTTTCCTGTGAATTCCCAAGGATTTTCCCTCCAATTCCCATGGATTTTCCCCCCAATCCCAAGGATCCTCCTGTGAATTCCCAAGGATTTTCCCTCCAATTCCCAAGGATTTTCCGTGAATTCCCAAGGATTCTCCCGTGAATTCCCAAGGATTCTCCCGTGAATTCCCAAGGATTTCCCCACCAATCCCAAGGATTTTCCCTCTGCAATTCCTGCCGGCTGACCCCGGACTCTCGGCGTGCGCTCCCTGCTCTCTCCATTCCCGCTTTCCCACTTTTCCCGCTGCTCTCTTTCCGCTTTTTCCTTTTCCAGCTTTCCTCGGGCCCCTCTGGAAGCGCTGCGGCCACACCCCCGCCCTTGGTGCGGGGCCCTCAGGCTGTTCCCGCTGGGAAAACTTCCCTCCAGGTCAGTGGGAGCCGGGAAAAACCGGGAAAAAAGCCCGGGAAAAGCCGGGAAATCCCGGGAAAAGCTGCCAGCATTGCCCTGCTCCCACGGGTGTAGGGATAACGGGATGGGGAAAGGTGGGCTGGGGTTTGCAGCTGGGAGTGCTGAGCCAGGAATTCCTGTGGAAAACAGGGAATTCGCTCTGGGATTGCTCAGGAATCCTGGGATTTTCTGGGAGGGAATCCCCAGATTCTCTCTGGAATTGCTGAGGGAATTCCAGGATTTTCTCTGGAATTGCTGAGGAGATCCTGGGATTTTCTGTGAGGGAATCCTGGGATTCCCTCTGGAATTGCTAAGGGAAATCCAGGATTTTCTGTGAGGGAATCCCAGTATTCCCTCTGGAATTGCTGAGGGAATTCCAGGATTTTCTGTGAGGGAATCCCAAGATTTTCTTAGGAGGAATTCCAGGATTTTCTCTGGAATTGCTGAGGGAATTCCAGGATTTTCTGTGAGGGAGTCCCGGGATTTTCTGGGAGGGAATTGCTGGATTTTCTTTGGAAGAGCTCAGGGAATCTCAGGAGTTTTTGTGTGAGGGAATTCCAGGATTCTCTGTGAGGGAATCCCAGGATTCAGGCTTGGAATGATCCCATTCCAGGCTGAAATAAATCTGGAAATCCTCAGGGAAGGAAATTCCCAGAATCCATGGACAGCTGTCACTCATCCCTGGAATCCTTTGGGATTAGAACATTCCTGCATTTTTTTTTTTTTTTTTTCCTGGGATAAATTCCCAAACTGCTCCAGCATAAGGGATTTTCCTTGGAAAAGGGTTTGGAAAACCCCCAGAATTCCAGGAAAGGGAGGGATTTGCTCTCCTTTAGGTGCCATTCCCAAATCCAGATGTGTGGGAATCTTTACTTTTGGAATCACTTCCAGAGGAACTGGAAAACCTTCAGGGAATTTTGGACTTAATCCCAAAAATCCTGTTTGTCCCAAGAATTCCTCTGGAATTTTGGGTGAATTAACCTGGATTGGGTTTTGCTGCAATGTCCAGGAATTCCAGAGGGAGGAGCTGAGGGATTCCCTGGGAATGGGATGGAATTCCCAACATCCCAAATCCTGGGGAAGGGGGAGATCCCTGATTCCAGGGGCTGGGAAGGGGGAAATGCCAGGATTGGGATGCAGAGGAAAATTTGGAATTTTGGGAATATCCCAGCCCAGCACCAGGAGGGAATTTGAGGATAGGAATCCCGGGAATCCTCGGGCAGCAGCTTTTCCAAACTCCTCTCTCCTCATTCCTCTTCCTCCTTCATGATTTTTCCAGAACTTTTTCTCCCCTTTTCTTTTCCTGCTTTTCTTTTCCCTTTTCCAGGATTTTTTCCCAGATCTTTTCCTTTCTTTTTCCTTTTCCTTTGCCATGATTTCTCTTGGAGCTTTTCCTTTCTCCTGATTTCTCTCCCAGGATTTTTCCCAATGTTTTTCTTCTCTCCTCCCTTTTTCCCTGTTTTTCCTTTTCCTCCACAGATCCCAACACTTCCATTCCCCATTCCCATCTTTCCCAGCCCTTTTTTTCCCCATTTCCCCCCCATTTTCCCAATTTCTGCCCCCGTTTCCCCCCTCCCCGTGCCATTCTGACTCTTTTCCCATTTTCCAGCCCTCCTCCAGCTGCATTCCAGGCACCAGGATCCCACCATTCCCACCTTTCCCATCCCTTTTTCCCCCCATTTTCCCCCCATTTTTCCCCCATTCCCACCTTTCCCATCCCTTTTTTCCCCATTTTCCCCCATTTTTCCCCCATTCCCACCTTTCCCATCCCTTTTTCCCCCCATTTTTACCCCATTCCCAGCTTTCCCATCCCATTTTCCCCTCATTTTTCCCCCATTCCCACCTTTCCCATCCCATTTCCCCCCATTTCCCCCCTCCCGGTGCCATTCTGACTCTCTTCCCGTTTTTCCAGCCCTCCTCCAGCCGCATTCCGGGCACTGGGATCCCTCCCCCGCTGCTCCGGGGGGGCCAAGCGGCCGCCTCCAAGCAGAGCCCCCAGATCGTGATGCCCCCCCTGGTCCGAGGGGCCCAGGTGAGCTTCTCCTGCTTTTCCCCTTCCCATTCCATGGAAAAAAAATTGGGATTTTTCTTCTCTGGTTGGCTTGAGCATCCCGTGGTGTGTGTTCCCATAAAAACGGGATTTTTGGGGTTAATTTGGTTTTCCCCTCCCGTTTTTACCATTTCCCCCATTTTTATCCCATTCCCAGCTTTCCCAACCTGATTTTTGGGTTTTTTTTTTGGAAGAAGTGGTGGGAGGCAATTCCTGCTTTTCCATGGTTTTCCCTCTAATTATCCTTTCTATCCCACTCAGAAATTTGGGAATTTGGGGCTGGAAGGAAAGGGAAAAACATCCTGGTTGTTATTCCATGCTTTCCTTGCCTTTGTGCCTTTTGATTCCCACTTTTCTGTGTTTTCCCAATGCCTTTTCCCTGGATTCCCAACCCCCTTTTCTGCGTTTTCCCAAGAAATCCACTCAAAAACTTGGGAATTTGGGGTTGGAATGCTCAGAGGATCTCTTGTCCCGTGTTTGGAGGAAAAGGGAAAAACATCCTGGTTGTTACTCCATGCTTTCCTTGCCTTTGTGCCTTTTGATTCCCACTTTTCCGTGGATTCCCAACCCCCTTTTCCACGTTTTCCCACCCCCTTTTCCACGTCTTCCCAACCCCTTTTCCACGTTTTCCCACTCCCTTTTCCACGTTTTCCCAACCCATTTTCGATGTTTTCCCAACCCCTTTTCCACGTTTTCCCACTCCCTTTTCCACGTTTTCCCAACCCCTTTTCCGTGTTTTCCCACCCCTTTTTCCACTTCTTCCCACCCCCTTTTCCACGTTTTCCCAACCCGTTTTCCATGTTTTCCCAGCAAATCCACACCATCCGGCAGCACTCGAGCACGGGCCCGCCCCCGCTGCTGCTGGCGCCGCGCGCCTCGGTGCCCTCGGTGCAGATCCAGGGCCAGCGCATCATCCAGCAGGGCCTGATCCGCGTGGCCAACGTGCCCAACGCCAGCCTGCTGGTCAACATCCCCCAGGTGAGCATTCCCGCTGGGAATTCCCACTGGGAATGGGCTGGGAAGGGTGGGAATGAGCAACAATAGCATCCCCCAGCTGAGCGTTCCTGCTGGGAATTCCCGCTGGGAATGGGTTGGGAATGGTGAAAATGAGCAACAATAGCATCCCCCAGGTGAGTGTTCCTGTGGGAATTCCTACTGGGAATGGGCTGGGAAGGATGGGAATGAACAACATCAACATCTCCCAGGTGAGCGTTCCCGCTGGGAATTCCCACTGGGAATGGCCAATGGTCAACATCCCATCCTGCAGGTGAGCATTGAGCATTCCCAGAATTCCTGGGAATTCCCACTGGGAGTGGGCTGGGAATGGTGGGAATGGCCAATGCCAGTCTGCTGGTCAGCATCCCCCAGGTGAGCGTTCCCGCTGGGAATTCCCGCTGGGAGTGGGCTGGGAATGGCCAATGGTCAACATCCTCCAGGTGAGCGTTCCCATAATTCCTGGGAATTCCCAGTGGGAGTGGGGTGGGAATGGTGGGAATGGCCAATGGTCAATATCCCATCCTGCAGGTGAGCATTGAGCATTCCCAGAATTCCTGGGAATTCCCACTGGGAGTGGGCTGGGAATGGTGGGAATGGCCAATGCCAGTCTGCTGGTCAACATTCCCCAGGCTGGCACTGCCCCAGTGGGGACTCCCCTGATTCCCAGTGATCCCAGTGCTCCCAGTGCTCCCAGTGACCCCATTGCTCTCTCCCCAGGCGTCCCCCATGTCCCTGAAGGGCTCAGCAGTGCCCGCGGGCCAGACTGGCACTGCCCTGGCAGGCGGCATGGCGCTGGGGGGCACCGGGGACTCCCTGGTTCCCAATGATCCCATTTCCTGGTTCCCAATGATCCCATGGATCCCATTCCCTGATTCCCAGTGAATGGGAATGATCCAATGATCTCATGGATCCCATTGCTCTGTCCCCAGGCGTCCCCCACGTCGCTGAAGGGCTCGGCGGTGCCCGCGGGCCAGGCGGGCGCGGCCCCGGCGGGTGGCACGGCGCTGGGGGGCACGGGCGAGGCCCCGGGCAGCCGGCAGGCCGCGGCCAAGCTGGCGCTGCGCAAGCAGCTGGAGAAGACCCTGCTGGAGATCCCCCCGCCCAAACCGCCCGCGCCCGAGATGAACTTCCTGCCCAGCGCCGCCAACAACGAGTTCATCTACCTGGTGGGGCTGGAGGAGGTGGTGCAGAACCTGCTGGAGAGCCAAGGTGAGCCCGGGAGGGGCAGAGCCCGGCTTAAACCCGGCTGGGATCGGTTAAACCCGGCTGGGATCGGTTAAACCCGGCTGGGATCAGTTAAACCCGGCTGGGATCAGTTAAACCCGACTGGGATCAGTTAAACCCGGCTGGGATCACTTAAACCCGACAGGGATCGATTAAACCTTGCTGGGATCAGTTAAACCTCCAGAAATGCAGGGTTTAAACGTGACAGGAATAATTTAAACCCCCCAGAAATCATTTAAACCTCACTGAAACCGCACTGGGGCTGCCCCGCCATGTTTGTCCCTCAGGGAAGGTGGTGGAGGCCAATCCCAGCTGTTTGTCCTCAGGGAAGGTGGCAGCAAGGCTGACCTGCCATGTTTGTCCCTCAGGGAAGGTGACCTTGGGGGACCAACTCACCATGTTTGTCCCTCATGGAGGGCCTTGCTGGGGCTGACCCACCATGTTTTTCCCCAGGGAAGGTGTCAGCAGGGCTGACCTGACATGTTTGTCCCCCAGGGAAGGTGACCCTGGGGCTGACCCACCATGTTTGTCCCCCAGGGAAGGTGGTGGAGGCCAGTCCCAGGTGTTTGTCCCCCAGGGAAGGTGGCAGTGGCCAATCCCAGCTGTTTGTCCCCCAGGGAAGGTGACCCTGGGGCTGACCCACCATGTTTGTCCCCCAGGGAAGGTGGTGGAGGCCAGTCCCAGGTGTTTGTCCCCCAGGGAAGGTGGCAGTGGCCAATCCCAGCTGTTTGTCCCCCAGGGAAGGTGACCCTGGGGCTGACCCGCCATGTTTGTCCCCCAGGGAAGGTGGCGGTGGCCGTGTCCTGCCGGGAGCCCTACCTGTGTGCCCAGTGCCACACGGACTTCACGTGCCGCTGGCGGGAGGAGAAGAACGGCACCATCATGTGCGAGACCTGCATGGCCTCCAACCAGAAGAAGGCCCTGAAGGCCGAGCACACGAACCGGCTCAAGGCCGCCTTCGTCAAGGCCCTGCAGCAGGAGCAGGAGATCGAGCAGAGGATCCTGCAGCAAACGGCCCCGCCCGGGCAGCCCAAGGCCGAGCCCGTGGGGCAGCACCACGCGCTCAAGCAGGTGAGGGACCGCCCCAAATCCGCCTTTTCCAGAGGGAAAAGTGACCCAGGGTTGGGTTGTGGCCTGCGGGGTTTGGCCCTCGGGTTGGGTTTAGGGTGGGTGGGTTGTGGGTGGTGTAGCAGGATCTGAAGATCGTCCAGTCCTGGAGATCTGCCAGGCCCAGAGAGCATCCAGGCCCAAGGATCATCCAGTCCTAAAAATCATCCAATCCCAGAGATCATCCAATCCCAGAGATCATCCAGTCCCAAAGATCATCCAGTCCCACAGATCATCCAGTCCCAGCAATCATCCAGTCCCAAGAATCATCCAATCCTAAAAAACATCTAATCCCAAAAATGATCCAGTCCCAGAGATCATCCAATCCTAGAGAGCATCCAGGCCTAGAGATCATCCAATCCCAACAATCATCCAATCCCAACGATCATCCAGTCCCAACAATCATCCAATCCCAGAGAGCATCCAGGCCTAGAGATTATCCCGTCCCAGCAATCATCCAGTCCCAAAGACCATCCAATCCCAACAATCATCCAATTCCAAAGATCATCCAATCCCAGAGATCATCCAGTCCCAAAGATCATCCAGTCCCAGAGAGCATCCAGGCCCAACAATCATCCAGTCCCAAAGATCATCCAATCCCAGAGATCATCCAGTTCAGCAAGATCCCAGATTTCCTTTTCGCTCCTCGCAGAGCTCCGGCCAGATGTCCCGGGGCGCTTCCCGAGGGGTCCTGCACTCCTTCAGCTCCTCGCCCAAGCTGCAGAGCTCCTCGGCCAGCGCCGCGCTGGGCAGCCGGCCCGGCAAGCACGCCGAGAGATCCGGCAGCAAGGGCAGCGCCGCCTGGAAGAAAAACCCCATCAGCACAGGTACGGCTCCTGGGCAGCTGGGGATCCCAAATCTCCTTGGGATCACAGCCCAGAATTCCCAGATTTTGGGTGGGAATTTGTGTGGAATGATGCCAAAGGTTTGAAGTGAAAGTTGGTGTCATCACTGCCCAAAATTCCCAGTTTTGGCTGGGAATTTGTGTGGAATGATGCCAAAGGTTTGAAGTGAAAGTTGGTGTTATCAGTGCCCAAAATTCCCAGATTTTGGGTGGGAATTTGTGTGGAATGATGCCAAAGGTTTGAAGTGAAAGTTGGTGTCATCACTGCCCAAAATTCCCAATTTTGGCTGGGAATTTTCGTGGGGTGGCGCGTTTCTCAGGATGAGTTTGGAACCGGGTCTTGCCAGGATAATCCATGCTTAAATCCTATTTTCATGTGCAATTTTTCATTATTCTCCCCTCATTCCCGAGCTATTCCATGACCCAAAATTCCCTTTTTCCCACAGGTGGGGCCCTGCCCTTCGTCAGCCCCACGCTGGCCGTGCACAAGTCGGCCTCAATAATCCATGCTTAAGTCCTGCTTTTCCATGGGTTTTTTCATTATTTTCCCTCATTCCAGTGGCATTCCGTGATTTCATAATTCCAGAGGGCTCAAATCCTGAATTTTGATCCAAAATCTTTGCATTTCTTGGGATGAGTTTGGAACCTGAAGGCGCCAGATTGCACTAGGATAATCCATGCTTAAATCCTGCTTTTCCATGGGTTTTTTTCAATATTTTCCCTCATTCCAGTGGCATTCTGTGATTTCATAATTCCAGGGGGCTCAAATCCTGAATTTTCATCCAAAATCTTCACGTTTCTTGGGATGAGTTTGTAACGAAGGCACCAGGTCTTGCCAGGATAATCCATGTTTAAATCCTATTTTCCTGTGCAATTTTTCATTATTCTCCCCTCATTCCCGAGCTATTCCATGACCCAAAATTCCCTTTTTCCCACAGGTGGGGCCCTGCCCTTCGTCAGCCCCGCGCTGGCCGTGCACAAGTCAGCCTTGATAATCCATGCTTAAATCCTGCTTTTCCATGGGTTTTTTTATTATTTTCCCCTCATTCCCAAGCCATTCCATAATTCCAGAGGGCTCAAATCCTGAATTTTGATCCAAAATCTTTGCATTTCTTGGGATGAGTTTGGAACCTGAAGGCGCCAGATTGCACTAGGATAATCCATGTTTAAATCCTATTTTCCTGTGCAATTTTTCATTATTCTCCCCTCATTCCCGAGCTATTCCATGACCCAAAATTCCCTTTTTCCCACAGGTGGGGCCCTGCCCTTCGTCAGCCCCGCGCTGGCCGTGCACAAGTCGGCCTCGGCCGTGGAGCGGCAGCGCGAGTATCTCCTGGACATGATCCCGCCCCGCTCCATCCCACAGTCGGCCACGTGGAAATAATTCCCGAGGGAGAACTTTTCCAGGCTCTGCCATCCTTTTCTTTTCTACCACAATTCCGTGGAATCTGCTTTAATCCCAGCTGGATAACGCCCCGAGGCTTTCTAGGATGCAGCACCACCACTCCTCATCCGTCCCTGCCGGGAGAAGTGACCGCGTCGGGGTGGCCGAGGCCCGGCTCCGTTGGCTCCCAGATTTTTCATGGAAGCTGGCAGGGAAAAGGGGAAGAATTCCTTAATTTTTTTTTTTTTTTTGGTTGGCTTTTTCCGTATTTAGTTTTGGAATTTTTTTGGCACCAGCACAAAAAAAAAAAAAAAACAACAAACCCAAAAGGACTCAGCGACTCCTCTCTGCCTTCGCCGACGCCGAACTTTTTTTTTGCCGGGAACGCTCCGGAATTCCGGAATTTTGGGGCGTGGAGAGAGGAATTCCAGCCCCGTCCTGCGTTTAGTGAGCCGAGTTCATGGCTGCTCCTTTTCCCTGCTCCTCTTCCAGCCGGGAAAGCAGGCGGCACATCCCGAGATTCCCAAAATCCCAACGATCCCACGAAGGAGAAGAAGAAGAAGTGCAAATCCTCGGTTCCCGCTGAGTTTGGTTTGGATTTTTGCCCTTCGGGATCGGCTGCCGCCCAAACCTTGGCTGGGAGGTGGGAATTGCTGCGGGAAATTCCCACTTTTTTCCTTGGATTCTGGTTGGAATAGACTTCGGAACCGTTGGTAGTTTCCAAACCTTGCAGTTACTGAGAGACAAAATCCACCTTGGTTCTTTCTCATCCCGCGAATTTTGGGCCTTCCCGACGTTCCCAGAGACTCCAAAGCGAAACTTTTTGGGAATTTTTTTTCCTTTGGGAGGGTTGGTTGGGTTGTTTTGTTTTGTTTTTTTTCCTTTCCTTTTCTGTTGTTGTTTTGAGGGATATTATTCCAAAATTTATAGGAATTCCAGAAGCTGATGCAGGCAGGGAGGGTTGGGAGCCGTTCCCAATTCCCACCGGGAATTCCGGCCGTTCCCAATCCTTCCCTCTGTGATTCGAGTTCTTCCAGGCATCCCAAGCATGCTCCTGTATCCATTTGGGATGGAGTTTTCCATCATTTTTTTGGGAATTCCAGAGGTTCAACCCAAAATCCATCAGGGGCCAGTTTGGTTTCATTTTTGATTTCTCATCCTCTTTTTCCTTGGGCTTCTTCCCGAATTCCAGATGAATCCAAGGGGCAGAATTCCAGGCCTTATTCCAGTGAGGAGAATTCTTTGGGAAATGTGGGGAATTTTCTTGGGGAAATTATAAATATATATAATTTAGAGATCTATATATATTAAAAAAAAAAAAGAGTGTGTGGGGGGGAAATTCAGGAAAATCCGGATTTATTTTCTTAGGAATCGCTGAAGCCAAGAATTCCTTTGGGATCATCCCCCTCGGATCCGAGGGACAAAACCCCTTCCTTTTCCCACTTTTCCTGGTGTTTCCATATTTAGGGATTTAATTTAGAAAGAAAAAAACCCCAAAACCTTGTTTTCCAAACTGGGATTTGTTGGATGAAACCCCCCGGAATTCCCAGCCGGATGCGGATTTTGGGGTGTTTTCCGTAGGGATGTGAAGAGCTCAGATGTGGGAATTGGGTTGGAATTTTGGAATTTGGAGTTTTCTTTTCATTCCAAGCTTGGATTGGGAGATGCCACCAGAGGGACGATGCGGAATTCCTTCAATTCCATTGGTTTTATGGAAAACTTGCCTTTCCTTTCCCACGTGGAATTTTTTGGGGTTGGTTCGGGAGGATTTTCCTCTCCTGGTTTTTTTCCTCATGGATGCCAACGTTGGGAAAAAGTTCATTTATTCCCCCCCCCAAAAAAAAAACAACCACAACAAAATTCCTCCAATTAAAATCCTTTTTTTTTTTTTTTTTGGAGTTGGGGAAACCTGGTTTGTTTATTCCCAGAGTTTGGGTGATTCCTGAAAAAAAACAAAAACCAGGGAATGGAAGAGTCACAGAAGGATTCAATGGGATAAAAAAAGGTCAAAACTTTCTGGATCCCAGCAGAATTCCCTTGGAAATTGGCATTTCAGCCTATTTTAGTTAATTAAAATAATCAGGAATGTTGGAATTGAAGGATTTGGAGTAAAAATCCAAAGAAGTGTCTATGTCCACACTTCCAAATATTCCATCCTGATTTTTTTTTTGATGGATAATTCAGGATAAATCCCAGAAAAAATTATTTGGGGGATGGGGGGGAGAGTTGTTTGGAAGGGGAGGGAAAATCCAGCATGGATTGAGGCTGGAAAACCAAAATATTTTATGGAATGGGGCTGAAACTCCAAATTCCCACCTGGAATGAGGCTGAAAATCCAAAATATTTTATGGGGTGGGGCTGAAACTCCAAATTCCCACCTGGAATGTGGCTCCTGGGATCCAGCCTGGTTCTGATGTGGGTTTTTTTTCTGGAATGTTCTTGGAATGCTGCCGGGAATTTGGAGGATTTGTTGTATTCCATCGACGTTTCTGCCAAATTTGGGATCAATCTGGGAAAAGATTCCACGTTGGAATGCTGGGATGGTTTTTCCTTCGCAGTCCCAGTTCCTGTGGGGGTTTTTTGGGATTGGGATGGTTCAGGTTCAAAGTTGTTCCAACTCTTTAATACAGATTTTCCAAACCTCTTCCCAGTCTCCTTTTTCCAGGAAAAAGCCCCCCAAAAAAATGGGAAAAATGGGGGGGAAAAAAATCTCAATAAAACGGAAAATTCCCATTGTGGAATTCTGCCCTGGAAGGGAAATGTTTGGGAATGGTGGAGGAGGGGGGAATTTGGGAACAAATCCTGGCTTTATTCCTGCTGCTGGATCCCCTTTGGGATTTGGGATTCTCTGATTGGATCCCCTTTGGCATTCCCAAATCCCTGAGGCCCTTGGATCCATTTTGGGATTCCCAAATCCCTGAGGTCTCTTGGATCCTGTTTGGGATTCCTGAACCCCTTGGGGTTTTGGAATTCCGAGATCTTTGGGATTCCCAAATCTTTGAGCTTTTGGAATTCCGGAATCCCTGAGGCCCCTGAATCCCCTTTGGCATTCCCAAATCCCAGAGATCTCCGGGATCCCCTTGGAGATTCCCGAATCCCAGATATCTCCTTGATCCCCTTTGTCATTCCCAAATCCTTGAGGCTTTTGGAATCCTGAAATCCCAGAGATCTCTTGGATCCCCTTTGGGATTCCTGAACCCATTGGGGTTTTGGAATTCTGAGGTCTTTGGGATTCCCAAATCCTTGAGGCATTTGGCATTCCCAAATCCCAGAGATCTCTTGGATCCATGGGAACACCCCCCAACCCTTCCATTCCCACAGATCCCTCGGGATCCTGGATCCCTTTTCCCGCTCTTCCCGAGCTTCGCTGCATGAGCTGCTCCGGGGGGCTCCGGATCCAGGGGGTCCCTAAAGCCATAAAATTCCCGCTCGGAGCCGCCGGGATTTTGGGATTTTCTAGGACACCGCGGAGAACGAGGAAGCGCCGTTGTAATTTAGATTTTAGCAACTTGTGAAATAAAAAGATCCCGGATTTTCATGGGAGAATTCCCGCGGTGGAACTGGGGGAGCCGTGTGGTTTTTCTTGGATTTCCTTCCCTTGGAATTTCGCCGTGGAAAAGAAAAAAAAAGAAAAAAAAAAAAAAAAAAACCAGGTTGGAATTTTTTTTTTCTATCCAAGGTTCTTCTTCCTCAGCGTTCCCAGCTTGGAAAAAAAGGTGAATTCCTGAATTTTTTTATATGCCAGGGATTCCTGCGCCTGCCGTTCCTGAGGAAAACAAAGGAAATCCAAAATTCCAGCGGATTCGGGATTGGGTTTTATCCTCATTTTGGGAATTCTTCCTGGGTTCTCCCAGCCAGTTATCCCTTTTTCTTTGTGGGAAGAATTGGAATTGAATTCCCAGGGCTGAATCCAAGATGGAAAACTGGGAATTCAGGCTGCAGGAAGGGGTGAAATGGAGGAAATTTTGGGAGATTTTGGGGAAAACCCCAAATTTGGCTCCTTTTTCCCTCTCCTTTGGGAAGGAAGGAGAGCAGGGTGGCATTTTTTTTTTTTCCCTTGGATTTGTTGGAACTCAAAAGATTCCAGAATAAATCCCAAAATTTAATAATTCTCACTAATCCCGCCAGTGGAAGGATCCAGAATCGATAATTAATAATTAATTAATAATTAATTGGGCGGGGTTGGAAGTGGAATGACAATAAACAGAGAAACTCCTGGATCTGCCTCGTATTCCCGGGATTTTGGGGGTCGGGATGGATCTCATGGATCACCCAGGCAGAGCTGGATCTGCTCCTTCCTCTCCCGAGGATTATTCCCAAAAAAAAAAATCGGGAAAACAGGAGAAGGCGGCAAAAATCCGGGATTTTGGTGGATTTCCTGTGGAGTTTCGTGGATGGAGCATCTTCGGAGGCGCATCCCGACGGAGCAAATCCATAAATCCAGAGCCTTCTCCCTTCCCACCTGGAATTCCTGCTCCAGCACCCTTGGATTCCACCTGACCATTCCAGGAGAAGTCACGGAGCCGTTGGATCGTTTCCCTCTGGAAGGAGAACAGGCCAAGGACATTCCCAGATGGATTTTTCTCATGATTCCAGAGAAAATCCAAATTCTCTGAGCTTGGGAAGAGCCACGGCCACGCGGGAATTCCTAAATTCCTGTTGAATTGTCCCGAATTCCAGTGGCATTATCCCAAATTCCCATGGAATTGTCCTGAATTCCCGTGGAATTATCCCAAATTCCCACGGAATTGTCCCGAATTCCCATGAAATTGTTCTGAATTCCCGTGGAATTATCCCAGATTCCCATGGAATTGTCCCGAATTCCCGATCACCAGTGGAGTCGCGGGATTGGGAAAAGAGATCAGGGAATGGATCCCGCTCTGGCTGAAGCCCCGGTTGGAGGGACGGGAAAATTCCGGATTTTTGGGGTTTTCCAGCCCCGTTTCCGTGTGGGATTGCCGGGAAATGTCGGGGATGGATCCCGTGTGAGGGGAGATGATCCCAAGGAAACAAAGGATCCCGTTGGATGAGAGGATGATCCCGGAAAAGTGATGGATCCCTTTGGATTGGAAGATGATCCCAAGGAATTGCTGGATCTTATCTGAGGGGGAGATGATCCCGAGGGATCGGAGGATCCCGTTGGGCGGGAGATGATCCCATTGGGTGGGAGATGATCCCGTTGGGTGGGAGATGATCCCAAGGGATCGGAGGATCCCGTTGGGTGGGAGATGATCCCAAGGAATTGATGTGGCATTGCCCTTTTAAGCGCGCGTTGCCCCTTTAAGCGAGAGCCCACCCCGCACCGCTCACGTGGCCGCACCACGTGAGTTTCCCGCGCGCGGGAACTGGGCGGGCAGGCGGCGCGGCGCAGTGACGTCACCGAGCAGCGCCGCGATGGCGGCGCCGAAGGTGAAGCAGGACATGGCCCCGCCGGGCGGGTACGGCCCCATCGACTACAAGCGGCACCTCCCGCGCCGCGGCCTCTCAGGTGAGCCCGGCGGGAGCCGCGGGGGCGCCGCGGAGGGACGAGGAGCGGCGCCGTGCGGCCTGTGGGCGCTGAGCGCCCCCCGCTCCCCTCACGGCCCTCACGGCCCTCAGGGTACAGCCTGTTCGCGCTCGGCATCGGGAGCCTCCTGCTGGGCTACTACAGCCTCGTCAAGTGGAACCGCGAGCGCAGGTGACGCTCCGAGCCCCCCGCGGGCATCCCCGGCCCGAGCCCGCGGCTCCCCGGGGCTCCCCGCGCTGCTGGCCCCGGGATGGGCGCTGCCCACCCGGCTACCGGGACCCCCGGTGCTCCCGGGACCCCCAGTGCTGCCGGGACCCCCAGTGCTCCCGGGATCCCACAGTGCCCCCTGGGACTCCCCAGTGCCCCCACCTCCTTCCAGCTCCTTTCCCATCCCTCCCCAGTGCTGACAGTCTCTCACAGTCCCGCATTCCCAGTGCTCCCAGTGCCCCATTCACAGTCCTCTATTCCAGTTCCCAGTGCCCCATTCCCATCCCCGTTCCCATCCGGTGCTCCCGGGACCCCCAGTGCTGCCGGGACCCCCAGTGCTCCCGGGATCCCACAGTGCCCCCTGGGACTCCCCAGTGCCCCCACCTCCTTCCAGCTCCTTTCCCATCCCTCCCCAGTGCTGACAGTCTCTCACAGTCCCGCATTCCCAGTGCTCCCAGTGCCCCATTCACAGTCCTCTATTCCAGTTCCCAGTGCCCCATTCCCATCCCCTTTCCCATCCCCGTTCCCATCCCGTTCCCATTCCCGTCCCCATCCCATCCCATTCCCATCCCATCCCATTCCCATCCCGTTCCCATCCCATCCCATTCCCATCCCGTTCCCATCCAATCCCCGTTCCCATCCTGTTCCCGTCCCCATCCCGTCCCATTCCCCGTTCCCATCCACATTCCCATCCCGTTCCCATCCCATCCCCATTCCCCGTTCCCATCCCCATCCCATCCCGTTCCCATCCACATTCCCATCCACATTCCCATCCCGTTCCCATCCCATCCCGTTCCCATCCCATCCCATTCCCATTCCCATCATGTGGCAGGCGGTTGCTGATCGAGGAGCTGGAGGCTCGCATCGCACTGATGCCGCTGCTGCAGGCGGAGTCCGACCGCAGGTACAGCCCGGGGGGCTGCCTCTGTGGGATTGGGATCATCCTGTGTGGGACTGGGAACTGCCTGTGGGATTGGGATCATCCTGTGTGGGACTGGGAACTGCCTTTGGGATTGGGATCATCCTGTGTGGGACTGGGAACTGCCTCTGTGGGATTGGGATCATCCTGTGTGGGACTGGGAACTGCCTTTGGGATTGGGATCATCCTGTGTGGGATTGGGAACTGCCTTTGGGATTGGGATCATCCTGTGTGGGACTGGGAACTGACTGTGGGACTGGGAACTGCCTTTATGGGACTGGGAACTGCCTTTGGGATTGGGAACTCACTTTGGGATTGGGAACTGCCTGTGGGATTGGGAACTGACTGTGTGGGATTGGGAACTGCCTTTATGGGACTGGGATCCCCCTTTATGGACGGGGAACTGCCTTTGTGGGATTGGGAACTTCCCCATGGGACTGGGATCCCCCTGTTGGAATTGGGATCCCCGTTTATGGACGGGGATCCCCCTTTGGGTTGGGAGCCTCCCTTTGGGATTGGGATCCGCCGGTTGGGATTGGGAATTCCCCTGTTCCCCTTCCCTGCCCCTGTCCCCCAGAACTCTCCGGATGCTGCGGGAGAACCTGGAGGAGGAGGCCAAGATCATGCGGGACGTTCCGGGCTGGAAGGTTCTGGATTCCCGGGGGATGGGGGGGGTGGCTGCCCTCTGGGATCCCACGGGATCCAGCCAGCCCAGGGGGTTTGGGATCACCCCAGGCTGGAAGGGTCGGGATTCCTGGGGGGAAGAGGAGCAGGATGGGGGGGCTCCCCTCTGGGACCCCATGGGATGCAGCCGTCCCATGGATTTGTCCCTGTGGGAGCCCGTGGGGTTGAGCTCCAAGGATTTGGGATCCCCTGGGATTGAGCTCCATGGATTTGGGATCCCCTGGGATTGAGCTCCATGGATTTGGGATGCCATGGGATTGAGCTCCGTGGATTTGGGATCCCCTGGGATTGAGCTCCATGGATTTGGGATCCCCTGGGGTTTGGCTCCATGGATTTGGGATCCCCTGGGGTTTGGCTCCATGGATTTGGGATCCCCTGGCACCCCGGGGTCACTCTGGCCTGGCAGTGTCCCTCTGCCCCTCCCCCATCGCCTCCGGGAGCTGCCAGGCCCCGCCCGGGGGCAGCTCCTCCCACGATTCCCGGGAATTCCTGGCACAATTCCCAGCGATTCCCGGCACAATTCCCGACACAATTCTGGGCGATTCCTGACACAATTCCCCACACAACTCCCCACAATTCCTGACACAACTCCCCACACAATTCCCTGTGATTCCCAGCCCAGTTCCCTGTGATTCCCAGCCCAATTCCCGACACAATACCCAACAATTCCCAGCCCCATTCCCGACAATTCCCAGCCCCATTCCCAGCCCATTTCCCCTCCCCGGCAGGTGGGCGAGTCCCGTTTCCACACGGAGCGCTGGGTGCCCCCCACGCTGGAGGAGCTCTACTTCCTGCGGCCCCCGGCCGAGCTGGACCGCGAGAAGTTCGGGCTGCAGAGCTACGTCTGAGACCCCAGACCCAAACCCGACCCCAACCCACCCCGAACCCCGGCCCCACCCCTCCCACCTCCTTCTGGAACTTTCCCCCCTTTTCCTGTCCCTCTCCAGGCTCTTTGCCCCATCCCGAGCTTGTTCCGACTCGTGCTCATTAACAATTAATAAATAAATAATTAATGGCTGAATTAATTAATCCGTTGGGGATTGGAATTGCCTCTGGGAATTGGGAACCTCCCCCTGGAAATTGGGATCCTCCCCCCTTTGGGATTGGGATCGGGATCTCCTGGGATTGGATCCTCTCCTTTGGGATTGGGATCCCCCCCTTTGGGATTGGCATCCCCGTGGCTCCCGGACTCCTCCCTCTCTCCCTGGAATTCAGCAGCTCCCGGGGGATTTTCCTGGGAATTCGGGATGGAGGGAGGGAGGGGCCGTGTCCTCGTCCCCTCCCCGCTTGTGCCCCGCTCCCAGGGCTGCGGATCCCGCTGGAAAAGCCCCGATCTGGGGGGGTTTAACCCCAAAATTCAGCCCGGTTGGAATTCCCGGGTGGGAACCACGGGCGGCATTCCCGGAGCGGGGCCGGGCCGGGAGCGGGGCGGGGGCAGCGGAGCCACCTCCCCCCGGGCGGCACCGCCGAGCGCCGGCCCCGCTCCGGCCGGAGCATCCTCGGCATTCCCGGGAGATCCGCTCCGACCGGAGCATCCTCGGCATTCCCGGGGGATCCAGTCCGACCGGAGCATCCTCGGCATTCCCCGGCGGGCGGCACCGCCGAGCGGGGGATCCGCTCCGACCGGAGCATCCTCGGCATTCCCGGGGGATCCGCTCCGACCGGAGCATCCTCGGCATTCCCGGGAGATCCGCTCCGACCGGAGCACCCTCGGCATTCCCGGGGGATCCGGCTCCGACCGGAGCATCCTCGGCATTCCCGGGGGGATCCGGTCTGACCGGAGCATCCCCGGCATTCCCGGGGGATCCGCCCCGCTCAGAGCATCCCCGGCATTCCCGGGGGATCCGCTCCGGCCGAAGGCCCCGCGGAGGTTCCAGCGGATCCGGTCCAGCCGTGGACGGAGGCTCCGCGCAGCTCCCGGGCTCCGCTGCTGCCGGGGTTCGGTTCCGCCGCCGCTCCCGTCCCGCTCCCCGCCATGAGCTCCGCGCCCTGCCCCTCCCGGGAGCCGCCCCGGTACCTCAGGTGAGCCCCGGGGACCCCCGAGGAGCCCCCCCGGCAGAACGGGCAGCTCCGGGCGGTGCCGCTCAGCCGGGGCTGCCCCGGGACGGGCCCCGTTTCCCGGTGCCGGGACCCCGCGGGGGTGAACGGGACCTCCCCGCTGCCCCGGGAGCTGCCCCGGCTGGGTGCCAGCCCCCGCGCGCTGCCCGGAGACCCCGGGCGGGGTCCCGGTCCCCACGGGTGTCCCCTGGGGCCGGGAAGGGGGGGTCGGTACCCACGGAGCCGCCGTTGCCGGAGCAACCGCATCCCGTGTCTCCATGGCTGCGGCGGGGATGCTCCGGGAAAGGAGCACGGGGACCCGCGGGAGCCGGGATGGGCGGGATGGGGACACCGGGGACACGCGGCGGGGACAGCGGGGATACCGGGAATAGCGGGAACAGCGGGGACACTCGGCGATACCGGGAACAGCGGGGACACGCGGCGGGGACAGCGGGACACGCGGCGCGGATGGGAGGGTCCCACGGCCGGGCTGTGCCGGGAGGGAGCGGCGGAACGGGAATGGGAAATGGGATCGGGGTGTGGGACCGGGGTGTGAAACTGGGATTTGGGACCGGGATGTGGGACAGGGATGTGGGACTGTGGTGTGGATCGGGGATGCAGAGAGGGGACACAGCCGGGAAAAAGTGTCGGGATACGGAACTGGGATGTGGGACCGGGATGTGGGACCGGGATGCGTTCCGGGGGTGGGGCCGCAGCTCCCGGGGAGCCCCCGCCGTGTCCCCGCCCGGGGCCGGTGCCAGCCCCGCGGAGCCAGCGCGGGGCCGGGGCCAGGAGTGTCCCTGCCAGCAGCGATTGGGGACAATGCGCTCCGGGAACGGACGCGGGGAACTGCGGCCGACACGTGGCTTTTGTTGGGCGAGGGACAACACAGCTGGGCCCGGCCACCCCCGCTGGCCGCGGGAGGGGCTCCCGGCACCGCTCGGTCCCTTCCCACCCCTTTTCTCCCCGATTTTCTCCCCGGAGCCCCCCGTGTGGGGCTGGGATAGGGCTGGGACTCACTAGAGGGCACCAAAGGATTGGGGACAGGGATGGGAATGTGGGGTGGGAATGTGGGATGGGAACTGGAGATGGGATGGGAATGTGGGGTGGGAATGTGGGATGGGAATATGGGATGGGAATGTGGGATGGGAATGTGGGATGGGAATATGGGATGGGGATATGGGATGGGACGGAGTTTTCCTGGCAGGTTTCTCGGGACAGCCAAAGGATGGGATGTGGGAATGAGGCAACCAGGAACTTGCTGGGGCCCTGCTGGAATGACCAAGGGAATTTTTGGGCTCTGCCAGGACACGGCTGGTCCGTGGGGACAGCCTGGATGGGATGGGACCACCCTGCAGCCTGGGGCCCCAACCCGGACCCCAATCAGAGACCCCAACCCGGGACCCCTCAGCTGCCCCCTGGCAGTGCCGGGTCCCCTCCCGGAGCTGCCTCTGAGCGCTTCCCCCCGAACCCGGGATACGGCGGGGTCTGGATCCCCCCGGCTCCTCTCGGTACCACCGGGATCCCGTCCCGGAGGGCTCGGTTTCCCTCCCGGCGGCGCTGGAGGCGGCCCAGGCCGCTCCGCCCGGCAGGTGAAGCCAACAGATGTGAGCAATTATTGTCGCGCTGGGGCTGCCAGCTCCGGGCTCGGCGGCGGCGGAACAACCGCGGCTTTGTTCGCTTTTATGTAACCGGGGAACCGGGGCCGCCGCCAGCTCGGCCGAGCGCCGCTCCCGGAGCGGCCCGTGGGGTCACGGTCCCCTCCGAGCGACATCCGTGCCACATCCGTGCCACATCCGTGCGACATCCGTGCGACAGCCGTGCCCCCTCCGAGCCCCGGCGTGTCCCAAAATGGAGCGGGGTCCCGAATCCTGCCGGGGGCGTGGGGACAGCTCTGTCCCCCTGTCCTGAGCGGTGACTGTCCCCAAGGCAGCCAGGCGGAGGCGGAGGCCATGGAGAAGGAGCTGCTGGAGGATTATCGCTTCGGGCGGCAGCAGCTGATCGAGATCTGGGGACACGCCTGTGCAGTGGCTGTCACCAAGGTGAGGCTGGGGACACCCAGAGGGGCTGGGGACACCCAGAGGGGCTGGGGTCCCCCCGGGGAGGGGGATGCTCAGCCCCTCCCGGGTGTCGGGGCAGGGGCCATGGGGGGGTCCCCAGAGGTGCCCAGGTGTCCCCGTGCCCTGGCGATGTCGCTGCTGCGGGGATCGCCCGGGGCTCGTGCGGGATGTGAGGAGCAGGAGGAGGAGGAGGAGGAGGAGGAGGAGGGCCAGGGGTCCATCAAGGGCAGCTTTGTGCCTCGGGGCAGCCTCAGCTTTTCCATCGGCCCTTCCCCGCTCCCAGCGCCGCCTGAGGAGCAGAAATGTTTTGGTGCCGGAGCCGTTGCAGCATCCCTGACCCCACCTGGGGCTCAGCATCCTCCTCTTCCTCAGGGCCACCCCAGTGAGGCTCTCCCAGCCGGCCGGGGTGTCCCCGCGGTCGTGTCCCCGGTGCCCGGAGGTGCCGGCGGCGTGGCCAGCGCTGGGCCGGGGCCAGGGCCGGGCTGCCGGGGCCGTGCCCCGCTCCGGGCGCTGGGACGGGCCCGGGAGCCAGGATCCGCGAGCAGGAAAAAATCCGTCAGCGGATAAACAGAGCGTCCCTCCCTCCCTGCTCCCTCCCTCCCTCCCTCCCTCCCTGCCCCAGCGGTCCCGGATTGTGCCGCGGGGGGGATGGGGGGTCCCGGGCACGGTCCCGGCCCAGCCGGGGCATCCCCTGCTCCCGCCGCGGGCATCGCCCCGACCCCACCCGGGCACCTCCCTGAGCCCACCTTGGAATTCCACTGCAGGCACCGTCCTCATCCCGCCACGGCCATCATCTTCATCCCGCCACAGCCATCATCTTCATCCCACCGCTGGCATCATCTTCATCCCACCGCTGGCACCATCCTCACCCCAGTACAGCCGCTGTTCCATCCCACTCCGAGCCCTGCCCAAGTCCTGCTGTGGATGCCATTCCCTGCCGTGCCGTGCCGTGCCATTCCCTGCCATGCAGTGCCATTCCCTGCCGTGCCGTGCCAGCCCCGTCCTGCTCCATGTGCCACCTCCATCCACCCCACGCTGGGTGCCAGTGCCAGCGCCACTGTGACCTCCTCGTGTCCCCGCAGCCTTTGCCCTGCTCTCCCTGCCATGTCCCTGGGTGACACCGGGCCATCCCCGTGTCCCCCTGTCCCCGGCGTGTGACAGTGCCCACCTGCTCTCCCCTGTGCACATTGTGTCCTTTATCCCCGTGTGACAGTGCCACCCCAGTGTCCCCCTGTCCCTGTCCCCGCTGTGTGACAGTGCCACCCTGGGTGTGACAGTGTCCCTGTCCCCTGGGTGTGACGGTGTCCCTGTCCCCTGGGTGTGGCGGTGTCCCTGTCCCCTGGGTGTCACGGTGTCCCTGTCCCTGGGTGTGACGGTGTCCCCTGGGTGTGACCGTGTCCCTGTCCCCTGGGTGTGACGATGTCCCTGTCCCCTGGGTGTGGCGGTGTCCCTGTCCCCTGGGTGTCACGGTGTCCCTGTCCCTGGGTGTGACGGTGTCCCCTGGGTGTGACGGTGTCCCTGTCCCCGCGGTGTCACGGTGTCCCTGTCCCCGCGGTGTCACGGTGTCCCTGTCCCCGCGGTGTGACGGTGTCCCTGTCCCCGCAGGCGTTCCCGCTGCTGTCGCTGCGGCGCAGGCAGCCCACGCTGCTGGTGGCGTGCGGGCCGGGGCAGCACGGGGCCATCGGGCTGGTGTGCGCCCGCCACCTCCGCACCTTTGTGGGTACCTCTGCCCCCCGCCCGCTCCTCCTCCTCCTCCCGGCCTTCATCCCAGCGCCCCCGGCCGCAGCGCTCCCGTTCTCCCGCAGGATTACGAGCCCACCATCTTCTACCCCAAGCGCTCCCCGGACCCGCTGCACCGCGACTTCACCACGCAGTGCGAGAGGATGGACATCCCCTTCCTGTCCTACCTGCCCGCCGAGGTGACCCCGGCCCCGAATCCCCGGATTGATCCCCCTCTCCTTCCCTTTTCCCCCGTGAACCCCCAAATTCCCCTCCTCCTCCCCTTTGTCTTTCCCTTGAAATCCTCCTGCTTATCCCTCTCCTCCTTCCCTTTCCCCCGTGAACCCCCAAATTCCTTTGATTGTCCCCTTCTGCTTCCCTTCCCCCCGTGAACCCCCAAACTCCCCTCCCCCTTTTCCCTTCCTTTGAAGTCCCCCTTCTTATCCCCCTCCACCTTCCCTTTTCCCCCAGTGAACCCCCAAATCCCCCTGCCCGTCCCCCTTTTCCTTCCCTTTTTCCCTCTCCGAACCCCAAATCTCCCTGGCTGTCCTCTTCTCCTCCCCTTTTCCCCCGTGAACCCCCAAATCCCCCGGACTGATCCCCCTTGAACCCCCAAATCTCCCTGTTTATTCCCCCTCCTCCTTCCCTTTTCCCTTTCCTTGAAATCCCCCTGCTCGCCTCCTTCTCCTCCCCCTTTTCCCTCTCCAAACCCCAAAATCCCGCTGCTTGTCCCTTTTTTCCTTCTCTTTTCCCCCCTCTCCACTCCCTACAATCCCCCTGCCCGATATCCCAATTTATCCCTTTTTTCCTTCCCTTTTTCCCTCCCCGAACCCCGTATATATATATATATATATATATATATATAAATTTTTTAAATTTTTTTTTATTTCTGGCACCGCCGGGGTTTTGTCCCGTCACAGGTGACACGGGGCCACCCCAAATGTCGCTGTCGCCTGCAGGTGCAGCTCATCAACGACGCCTACAACGCCGTGGTGGACGCGGTGCTGGGAGCCGAGGTGGCCGAGGGGACAGAGGGGACAGAGCCGTGCGCCGCCATCCTGGCCACCCTCAAGCTCGTGCGCATCCCCATCGTCAGCCTGGATGTCCCCTCAGGTGCCCCCCGTGTCCCCTCGGGTGCCCCCCATGCCCCCTCGGGTGCCCCCCATGCCCCCTCGGGTGTCCCTCGTGTCCCCTCGGGTGTCCCCCCGTGTCCCCTCAGGTGTCCCCTCGGGTCCCTCCCGTGTCCCCCGGCCCCCCCCGCGCCGCTGTCACCGCGCCCGTGGCGGTGTCACCCCGTGTCCCCCCCGTGTCCCCCCCGCGGTGGCCCTGGCGGGGTTGGGGACATCCCCGGGCAATAACAAAGTGCCCGGCCCGAGACGTGACGTCACTGGCGGATGGCATTCCCAGGTGGCATTCCCAGGTGACATTCCCTGCTGGCCGGGCCTGACATTGTCATCACCTGTGTCCCCTCCCCCGGCCTGGCCGTGTCACCCCGCGGGGACAAACCGCGCCGGTGCCACCTCCTGTCCCCTCCCTGTCCCCTCCACAGCACCCGCGCCACCCCTGAGCCAGCCCATGTGTCCCCAAGGGTGCCAACTGTCCCCTGGGGTCACAGCTGTCCTCTGTCCGTGACCCCACGGACAGCTCCGTGTCCCCTGGTGTCACTCGTGTCCCCTCTCCATGTCCCCTGATGTGCCTCTGTCCCCACAGTGCGGGCTGTGTCCCCCGGGTGTCCCCCCTGTCCCCTCTGTCCCTGGGTGTCCCCCTCTGTCCCCTCTGTCCCCGCTGTCCCCTCAGTCCCCGCTGTCCCCTCGTGTCCCCGCTGTCCCCTGGTGTCCTCCCTGTCCCCCCTGTCCCCTCGTGTCCCCGCTGTCCCCTGGTGTCCCCGCTGTCCCCTGGGTGTCCCCGCTGTCCCCGCTGCCCCCTCAGTCCCCGCTGTCCCCTCAGTCCCCGCTGTCCCCTCGTGTCCCCGCTGTCCCCTGGTGTCCCCGCTGTCCCCTGGGTGTCCCCGCTGTCCCCGCAGTCCCAGTGACGCTGTCCCCTGGGCCAGGCTGGGCGGCGGGCGCTGGTGGCAGCGGTGACATCAGGCCGGACGTGCTGGTGTCGCTGGCGGCCCCCAAGGCGGTGGCGCGGCGCTTCCAGGGACGGCGACATTTCCTGGCGGGGCGCTTCGTGCCCGAGGAGCTGCGGCGGAAATTCGGGATCGGCCCCCGCGAGTACCCGGGCAGCGACTGCGTGGTGGCCCTGTGACCCCAAAACTGCCCCGGGACCCCAAAATAAACCCCTGGTGGTGGCCCTGTGACCCCAGAACTGCCCCGGGACCCCAAAATAAACCCCTGGGACCCCGGAACTGTCCTGTGACCCCCAAATAAACCCCTGGGACCCCAAAATAAACCCCTGGGACCCCGGAACTGCCCCGGGTCCCCGGAACTGCCCCGGGACCCCAAAATAAACCCCTGGCTGTCCCCGCTGTCCCCTCAGTCCCCGCTGTCCCCTCAGTCCCCGCTGTCCCCTCGTGTCCCCGCTGTCCCCTGGTGTCCCCGCTGTCCCCTGGGTGTCCCCGCTGTCCCCGCAGTCCCAGTGACGCTGTCCCCTGGGCCAGGCTGGGCGGCGGGCGCTGGTGGCAGCGGTGACATCAGGCCGGACGTGCTGGTGTCGCTGGCGGACCCCAAGGCGGTGGCGCGGCGCTTCCAGGGACGGCGACATTTCCTGGCGGGGCGCTTCGTGCCCGAGGAGCTGCGGCGGAAATTCGGGATCGGCCCCCGCGAGTACCCGGGCAGCGACTGCGTGGTGGCCCTGTGACCCCAAAACTGCCCCGGGACCCCAAAATAAACCCCTGGGACCCCGGAACTGTCCTGTGACCCCCAAATAAACCCCTGGGACCCCAAAATAAACCCCTGGGACCCCGGAACTGCCCCGGGTCCCCGGAACTGCCCCGGGACCCCAAAATAAACCCCTGTGACCCCCAAACTGTCCCGAGACCTCGAAACTGCCCCGGGACCCCAAAATAAACCCCTGTGACCCCGAAACTGCCCCGGGACCCCAAAATAAACCCCTGGGGCCCCGAAACTGCCCCGGAACCCCAGAACTGCCACGGGACCCCAAAACAGCCCAGTGACCCCAAAACTGCCCTGGGACCCCAAAATAAACTCCTGTGACCCCAAAATAAACCCCTGGTGGTGGCCCTGGGACCCCAAAACACACCCGGGACCCCAAAACACACCCGGGACCCCAAAATAAACCTCTGGGACCCCAAAATAAACCTCTGGGACCCCAAAAACCCCTGGGACCCCAAAGAAGCGCTCTGTCGGCTCTGGAACCCCAAATAAAGCCCTGGTGGCCCTGAGACCCCAAAAATAAAGTGGTGGTGGCGCCCAAAACAAACACCTGGTGGCCTTGGGACCCCCCAAACGCAGCACCGGTGGCCCTGGGACCCCCAAAATAAATCCCTGGTGGCCCTGGGACCCCAAAGAAGCCCCTGGTGGCGCTGGGACCCCCTGAGCGGGGGCTGCTTGGACTTGGGGACAGCAGGGGACACTTGGGGACTTGTCCTGAGACTCACTTCAAGCTTGGGGACCTGGCCCGACCCC